GGAATTGCAGCAAGTGAGAAGATTTAATGAATGGCGACGGGCAAAACTGGAAAGGTCATGAAATTTTCCCTTGAAAAATTTCAGCTGTTTTGTAACAACAATCTCAAATGGAAGCCCAAATGAAAATGATTGGAAATTTAACGAAATGTTTGAGTTTGCAGTTTGTAGTAGCGGCAGCACGGGACACGCAGGCGAATTCTGTTGATCTTCTCACTAATGCGATAGGTGAATTTAATTATGACACAGATTCCGGTTGCACTTTTGGAGCATGGTTCAAACGGTGGGAAGATATGTTCCGACGGAATTCAGTCGTCAACACGATCCCTGGAAAGTGCGGACATTCAAATTAAGCAACCATATTCTGTCCAAACAACTAAAAGACCTGAAATTCGACGAAGCGGTGTCACAGATCAACGAAATAGTTGGCAAGTCAGCTTTTCTGTTCAGCATTGGTTATCAATATCTAAAGACTGTCACCTGGAAGATGGACGATTGTGGCGCGAGCAGAAATGGTTAACCGCGAGTGTAAGCGTTTCAGGCTACAATGTTTGAAGGACGACCAATATATGTGTCTTACCTTTGTCAATGCTCTGCAATCCCCCTATGATACAGAGATCCGCACGAGGCTTCATACAAAGCTTGATCAAGACCCAGAGTTGACTTATAGGCTATGTTGGCGAATGCAAGCGACTGCTCACTTTGAAGCGCAACACCGCGCTAATCGAACAGTGTCGCCCTAAACCATCCGCGGTGAAAAATGCCGGGAATGCTAGCGGAATCAAAGCGTATAAAAGGGCACCGAACAAAGCATCAACAGCCTGCTGATTGTGCAGCGAATGGCACTTGCGCGTTTCTTCCCATACAAACGTCACATCTGCGAAGTGCCGTAAGCGGGTTCATAAAGAAGAACTCTGCAGGCAGTTACGGCCGAAGAACACGAACAAGTTCTACCCTTCGAAGAACTCTCTATGGCATGGTGAAGAATCGCTTCCGGTAATTGCCGCATTTCAAAGTGAACCTAAGCCACGACGACGATTCATCGTCATGCTAAGTAACGGTATCCCTGCAATCTGACACGGCCTTAGACATCAGTATCATTTTCAGAAACACTTGGAATCAAATAGGGAGGCCAGTAATGAGCAATTCTCGTAGAATAGCCCACAAGGCATAAGGTGTGCTCAACTTATTCGCAGAAATTACCTGCACAATGGCATTCAGCGGTGTGGTAGAAACAAGGACGGTTTACATGTCTCATAGGCCAAAGCTGAACCTTCTTGGGCTTGACTGGATTGAAAAGCTGCGACCGCTCGATGTCCCACTGAATCAAAAATTCAATCGAATTCCAGCGAATCCAGATGCATCAAGGAAGTCGGCCAAAGAAATGAAACGTCTGCCGAAACAAAACATTGACCCTGTGTGTGTGTGTCAGGATGATCTGGGTCATTGCACCAAGTTCACAGCAACCGTGTTCCTGCGGCCAGGAGAAAAGCCAGTCTTCAAAGCTAAACGATCAGTGCCGTAGGCAGCGATGCCAATCGTTGAGCAAGAGCTCGAGCGACTAGAACGAAGCGGCGTCATCACATCTGTAAACTACGCCTCATGAGCCACACCAATTGTCGCAGTAAAAGAAAGTGAAAGTACGCGCTTGCGCAGATTTCTCAACTGGTCTTAAAGCTGCGCTCGAGGACTACCAATACCCATTGTTATCACCGGAAGACATCTTTGCAAAATTGAATGGTGGCAGATGCTTTTCCAAGCTTGACCCGTATGATGCATACCTTCAGATAGATGTTGCGGACGAGTCGAAAAGGTTACTGACTATCAACACCCACCGTAGGCTGTATCAGTACAACCGCCTGCCTTTTGGCGTAAAAACGGCACCAGCCGTTTTTCAACAGTTGATGGATATCATGCTAGGAGTTCCTGGAGCCGTCGCATTTCTCGATGACATCATCGGAATGGGCCGAAAAACGGCGGAATTATTTGACCGTTTGGAGGTGCTTGGTCATATCAGTCACATGATTACCAGATTCGTGAAGACAAATGCACTTTTCTCACGCCGAACATCAAATACCTCGGTTATATCCTTGAAAATAATGGCCGTCGACCAGATCCGGCAAACATCCAAGCCATAAAGATGTCTACACCAGCAGTTGTATTCATTCCGTGGTTTCATCAGTTACTACACCGCAAAGCCTGCGTGCCCTGCTGAACAAGCTTCTGACTAAGGACCACGCCTGGAACTGGATACCAGAGTACCACCGTACCTTTGAGCGAATCAAGTCATTATTGGTTTCGGACTTGTTGCTGATTCATTACGATCCAACTCAGGTCATTCTCGCAACAGACTCACCAGTTCACGTGATGGTAGTTATTTAGCATTTGTACCCAGATGGATCTCAGAAGGCGATCGCTCATGCGGCCAGGACTTTGACAAAAACCGTGAGAAACTACAGCTAGTTCGAAAAGGAAGCATTAACCATATTCGTTGGAGTAAAAAACTCCACAAGATGCTGTAGGACCGCCGAATCAAATTGTTGATAAGACCACCCAATTGGTCTTTGCCTCGCAATGCTGGGGAATAAAACGTTTGTTTATTTATTTATTTACTTATAATGTCTTATCAAAACCATTGCTGACTCAAAAATGGACAACCCTGCCTATACGGCAGATCGTCTCCAACGCTGGGCTCGCACTTTGCTGAGCTATGATTTTGTGATCGGCTACCAACCAACCGCTTACATGGGCCAAGAGAACGCACTGTTACACCGCAAAGATTTCTGGCAGAAAGTTGAAGAAGACAAGATCATAGCCGCAGTTGGGCTTGAACCGGAAGCCAAATTTCTTGTGTATGATGCATTACGTGACCTACCAGTGATTACAGAAGCTGTACAAGCAGAAAGGCTTCGAGACCCGGTACTCAAGACGGTCACACAATTCAACAGAACGAGTTGGCCACGCACGTGTTCATCAACCGAATTGCAGCAGTATTTCCAAAGTAGGCATGCAACCTCCATATTGGACGGTTGCATATTGTTCTCGGAAGGAGTTATCATCTCCAAGACACTAAAAAAACTCGTACTTAGACAGTTTCATGCAGGACATCCTGGGGCCAACCGGATGAAGGCGTTTGTCCGAAGCTTCGTGTACTGGTCATTCACGGACAGAGAATTGGAAAAAATGGCTAAAAATTGCGACCAGTGCGTTGCGGTTTCAAGGGAACTAGTAAACTCGGAACATGATTCATGGTCGAAATCAACGAGAACATAACAAGAGGCTTCTGGAATCCGCACGAGAAAGGTTCGGGAATGGAGTAGATGACGTCGAGAGGTTTTCCATTCCCGCGTGATCGCACTCTAAGAGGTGCTACATGATGGAGCTATTAGAAGAACTCGCTTCGTTTCTGTAAAACCACTTCGGTGTTCGCGAATCCTACGAGATAGGCGCCTTGCAGTACGACGCACGTATCGTGCACCACAGAAGCACGAGTAATGGTAAACAAACATTAATCGAGTCAATGGATGCAGCGTGTCTTTCAAAGGTTTTGCTGTTGGAAAGACCTATTTCGCGGCTTGTTTAAGTATACTACAAGACAAGCGTTTACTCGCAAAGCCTTTGAAAGATAGGCTGCCTCCGTTGACTCGATCAATGCCAGTTTACCAGTATTCGTGATCATGTGGTGCACGCTACGTGGGTCGCAGTACAAGACGCCTATCTCATAGCATTGCGAACACACTCCGAAGTGGTTTTACAGAGACGAAGTAAAGTCTTCTAATAGCTCCATCATGTTACACCTGTTTGAGTGCTGTCACGCAGGAACGGAAAACGACTTCGACGTCATCTACTCCAATCCAGAACCATCCCCTATCTATTGCGGGAGCTATCTATATCCGCCACCTCAAGTCGGAGTTTTGTGTAGAAAAGCAATTTGTACGTCTCTTACTTCTGATGTGGCCTATAACTTCTATTATGCGATCCTTTGTTTGTGAAAATGATCCACCCCTGCACATAATCTGCCATCTTCAGTGACCGTGTAATTTACTGATCTCAGTGACAGAATTTACAAATATCCACATGCATATAGACTAAGCAAACACCTGTATATCCCACTTCGGCCTACAGTGCCGTCGGAGTTAAACGTTTAATCAATGAGCAGCCCTATCCGGCACTTTGGCACGTGATCATCGTCCGTTTGATGGGCGTTACCGAATGGAAGTATTTACTTAGAATCTGCCTCCCTTTCAATCAATGTATGGATAAGAGCCAGGCCACTTCGAATTGGACGCATTAAGAGAATTACTGTGTCTGATCGCCAGTACTCAAGGGAGTAACTGGTAAGCGACGCTGTAGTGTGCCAATTGATAGGTGATCAAAAAGCCTCAGATGCTTACTTGGAACACCTATTGTACTAGAACCCCTTACAATGTCTAGGTCTTGTCCTTCGAATTATCGTTGACCGTTACCGACGCACATGATCAGGTGAAACTGTGAAGTGGCCAGTTCATGGCGTGGCATAAGGACATGAAAAAATTATCCGAAACACTTGGTTAGGCTAATGTGTGCCGTCTTCGTGAATGTGGTGATTGAAGACTCTAATTGATGCAGCGAAGTTGCGAAGTCAGTAACGCAGCGGTATGCGTTCTCTTGCACTTAGGTGGCAACATTTAAGCATGAGTAAATTTACGGGATTTTATTTAACTTTGTATTCCACTTGTATTCAGTCAAATGCTCCATCCAAATGACTGACGAAGTGGGAGGTGATAACTGATTTCACCGTACAGCTGTACTCGCATGGTAGTTGTTTTACAAAAGTAACTAAACTGGTGGTCCCGAGCGAAGGAATGAGGGGGTAGGAGGACGCTGAGTGTCAGTCAAGAAACTGGCAGAGGTCAACGGGAAAATGCTGACATCAGGGAAGAAAGAGATGAAGAGTATGCAACGTTACGTTCACCATACGAAGAAAACGGCAACAAGCGGCGTCAAAAATACACAAAACTCACCGAGACTAGCACCATGACCATTTCCGAAGAGGCCCGATGCAGTGGAGCTAAGCCGTCGTCATCCAAAGTGTTCGGGTTCGTGTTGTGTTGCATCAGAATGTGTGCAGTCTCTAAAAACCGTTCGGCAGACTGATGTGAGATTAAATGCAGACAGGATTGCCGTTTCTCGGTTAGCGCAGATACTGAGGCACCAGAGCGAATTAATAGTTCGACCACCGGACCACGCCCAAACAGAGCAGCCTATGAAGGAATGATAAATCGACAGAGAAAGGGGATGACGGCAATTCTTATATTCGCCGGATGGTAACAATAAAGTTAATGGATGAACCCATCTTTCGTTTGGCTCTTTGACCGACAAGATGCCACGTAAAGGCGCACCTGATGTAGCATGCACCGCTAGCAGAGTTTGCTCGCCAGATGGGAGTTCACCAACCGACAATCAAAAAGCCTCGGTTTATAGCCTCAGAGGAGCAATAACCGCTACAATGTCTCAATAATTAAATTAATAAAAGATATATGATTGGTTTTCTTGGAGTGGCAGTTTTTGTACGCAAGGACTGCGACAACGTAACCTCGATGTGCACCAGAATTTAATTCGAAGAGTGCCGTGCTTCACTCATTAGTCACTGGGACCAATTCTGAAACGTTGCCCATTCCACAAGCGGCTTATTTGTCATCTTCAGTTGGAAGTAGGGAAGCTGGAATCCGAATCCACGACGTTGAAATGGTCGATACAAGCACCCATAACTCCTTGCACCGCGAACTAGTGCGAGCAGCGCTTATCCTAACATTTCGGTTGTCTACACGTAACATAGTACAATGTTAGACACAGAAAACACCTAAGAAGCGACCGTGGTTCCGTTTAAATAAAATTGCGACACCAGTCGAAGATATGGCATCTCGGCAGTCAAAAGTAGGACGGTCGTCCGAAGCCATCCTCATCATCGCCAGTAGACATCAGCTGAAGATGAGAAACACTTTAACTATTGCGCCACAATACATAAAGATATGGGAGAAAGCGCAAAAGCGAACATTAAAGAATAGAGTAAAAACTCAACGGGTAATATATTGTCTAGTAAGATACTATTTTACAAGATTGAGGTCGTGATTAGAGAGGGAAAATAGCGGTATGGGGAAGGAGAAAGAAGCTTACAATTCAAACATCATTGAGGTCGAGCTGTTCGCCATGTCAACAGTTGTATACAGCCAAATGTTTTCATCATCTTAGCGGACCCGAGCAATGCAGTCGAAAGACACCGACCGAAGCCAACTTAGAAGTGACAGGGTTTCATTCCTCTCGATCAAGTTATCGCTTGGCCATCCCTCCTCTACTTCTAAGCACACACCCCAAACGCGCAAACCACGCACGTCGCAGAAATCCGTGTGCCGGAAAGCGCAACAAGTGGCGAAGCCATCGGAGCCTGATGTGTGATATAACGGTGGTGAGCGACTCACTCGCTCTTGCTGCACCAAATACGCCGCGTCGAACACGGTCATTGTTCACGCGGTGCTCCCACCAGATATGAGCAAAGTTGCGAAGGCAGCGATGATCGAACATATGTCCGTAGACTTAGTGGGTCACGTTTCGCAACCGAAAATGAGGGTTGAACAAACAGCTGCCTTGTAAACTCTGCCCTTAACGGAAAGAGTGATGTCGCGTCGGTGTCACAGGTGGAAGAGATTGACAAAAGCGCCTCGAGCTTGTGCTATAAGGTTCGTGATCTCATTTTAAGTACCACTAGCACTGATATAGCTGCAAAGTATTTGAATTTCCCGACAACTGCTATCTAATGACCACCAACGGTCAGCGCAGGAGCAAGCCTTTGCCAACCATAGAGGAAACTCCAGTTCCATGGTGTGAAGCCTAGCCAGAAAGAACTGACAGCCAGTGTAAACTTGTCCAGTGCTGCATGAAACGTTTGGGAGCTGTCACAGATTAGGTAGTCGTCGACGCACACCAAGTCGAGAAGTCGATCACTTGGGAGCATCCTCACACCTAGTAGATAGTGTCAGGTGGCTTTGTCAACGGCAAAGTCGAAAGGGAAATGTGACAGCGGGAATCCTTGTTTCGCACTGCTGGAGATTTGAAGCGCCGTAACAGCTTGCCGTCCGAAGCTAGTTATTGAAGACTCAGAGACAGGTAACAAAAGACCGCTCTGAAATTGCAGACAAAATTTTGCGAGGACTTGTGAATAGTCAAGGCGAAGTTGCACAACGTGGAATATCAGAGCAAGGAGAGCCGCAAACCGGTTATTATTACTGCCAGGTGAAAAATACGAAAAGTTGTGGTATTGACTTCGACGGGAAAGCCACGTCCATGTCAAGCATCTTAGAGCTTGTTCATAATTGGGACCAAGAACCGCTTATCCACATCTAACGGCAGTTACCAACCTACCCTCTCATGATGCCAGATGAATGACTCGGATTAATCCCTATGAATCCGCTCTTTCGCTCAGAAGTCGAACATGAGATCGTACTGCTGAAGTTGAACAAAGCCGCGGGACCAGATGGTCTTCCTCCAGCCCTCTTCAAATTCAAGAGCGCTGCTTTTGTTGATGGTTTACACGAGTTACTAGTGAAACTGTGGGAGCAAGAAACTGCCTCAACAAACTGGAGCCGCTCCGTCACAGTCCCGATTTCAAAGGATTCTCACGATCGGAATAAGTCAAGCATAGAGGCAACAGTCTGATCTCCATCACCTCCAAATTGCTTGCCTCTGACTGGCACTCGAGAAAGCCAGATTCGTAAAAAGCAAGCCGGATTTCGTCGAGTTCGTGACTGCATTGACCACATCTTCACTTTGCGTCAATTGTTAGAGCACCATCGCACATATTGGCGGACCACCGTAGTCGTGTCCCTGGATGAAATGAAAATGAAATGAAATGTGCCAGCTTATACGCCGTAACGGCGCTTCGCTGCCGCGCGACCACCACTAGTCGCGCGCGGGCTGAGTATACCGCGAGGACGCCCACCCCTACGCGGATTCGAACCGGTGACCTTATGGTTGCAAAGCAAACGTGCAGACCACTCGGTCACCGGCCGACGTGTCCCTCGATATCCAAAGTGTATTCGATTCGGTGGATAGTTGTGCCCATTAGGACTGTCTACTCAGGAAAGGTGTACCTGAGAAATATGTACATATTATCAGAGCATTATACGCGCGTAGCACGAGCAGAGTGAGGGCTTACGGCAAGCTGTCGTCGCTCGCCAATATCTCCAGCGGTGTGAGAGAAGGATGCCCGCTATCACCTTTCCTCTTCCATTTCGCTATTGACGAAGTCATGGAAATCGCGTTCACAGGACACGACTTAGGTGTGGATCTGCTCTCAAGAGAACGACTCCTTGACTTAGAGTATGCTGACGATATTGCCAACTTTGTGACAGCTCACAAACATGACAAGCGGCACTGGACAGATTAGTACTGGCCGTCCGTCACTTCGGAATTTGCTTCGCATCCTCGAATTTCAAAGCTTTCCTCCAAGATTGGCTGAACCGCCTCCTGCGCTGAACCTTGGTGGGGATCAGCTAGAAGTCGTTCAAAAAATTCAACTACCTGGGAAGTTGTATCAGCGCCCGTAGGATTGAAGATGTGATCACGAACCATGCGCTTTCGCTAGCCTTTGCCATCTATAGCGCCGGCGTGACATCTCGCCCTGAAGGGTAGAGTGTATAATGCAGCCGTGCGTTCGACCCTGCTATACGGTTGTGATCCCTGACTCCTTAGATCAGCGGACATAAAGAGGATAGTTATGTTCCTTCGCCGGTGTCTTCGTAATTTAGCTCACATCTGGTGGGAACACCAAGTAGGCAACAAGCGTGTTCCGCGCTTTGTTTACAGCACAGGAATAGGAAATGAACCACTCCGCACCGTTATTTCACGCACCAGGCCACGAAGGCTCGGCCACGTGGTACGCATGCCAGTCCACCGACTCCCGCGACATGCGTTGTTTGCGCGCCGGGGGTGTGGATGGAAGAAGAGGAGAGGTGGCCAAGCGATGACTTGGTCGAGAGAAATGAAGGTCCTCACTTGGAAGCTGCCCTCAACTGGAGCGTTACGGCTCCCTGGTTGGGGTCCGAAAGACAAGGAACACGTTTGGCTGGATACACTTGCTGACGTAAGTAGGAGCCGACCTCGATGGCGTTATTGCCGTGAGTTTCCTTGTTCCACTCCAAATCTCTTAGCCTCTTCCTCCGACCACCATCGTACTACTTAGCCTTATATAATTTTGCACACTGAATTTTTTTGCTGCCTAATAGCCGGATGGTGGCTTACTGAAACGATGCCCATCCGTTACCGGCAGCTCAACTGGCTTGCACCTGTTGCATTGCTCTCTTTTTCCTTCTATGTGTTGCGGCACAGTAGCTGAGGTATTTCCCACCTCAAGCTAACGTGTATATTGATGATGACGATGACGTTACAGCGAATGGTTCGGCCATAAAGTGTCAACAACTGGTTGGTTACAGCCTTTTAAACGATTACTCCATAGAAAACCACTAATATCTGTTGAAAAATGCTGCAGATTGACATAAGTGACCAATAAATAACTAACATAACTACTCCTTTCCTTAGTCTTGGTGAAGCGTTGTAGTCCAGAGAATAAGCGTTGGGCGTAGTGGGTCTCCGCTTGGCAACCGACCAGAAGAAAGGCTTTTGAACCGAGTGATCAGCCATTCACTTGATTAACTTAAGGGCAGGCTATTCAACCAAAGTGGCAGAGTGGTGTCCCCTAGTTCTACTCCTTACTTTGGCTGGGGCAACAGGGTAATACCATGCTCGCTGAAGAAACCGTGAATTGCCCTGTGTTGGATTAGGCTTTCTGCTTTGATAACTGCACTTTAACCTGATTACCACGGCTTTTAATTGATCCATGCCTATACGTAAGCGGCTAAAACATTGCAGATATGAGAAACTCGCCGTAACACAATATCGCAAAATGGCTGGCATCGATACTCGATCCTGTTAGGAAAAGGATAGTTCATCACCATCTGAGCGACAGGTTCCAATTTGTTGAAAGTGTCAAAAACATAAACATACTGGACTATCGCATGCTCTCCCTGGACGTCGTAGCGCTGTTTACCAACGTTCCGCTATTAGAAACCGTAGATTTCCTTCGCTTCTTCATTGACCGACAAAAGATAAGCATGGAGATCCCAACTGGTCAGCTCAAGCAGCTTTTGCTCAGATGCACATACAACATCCAGCTTCAGTTTAACAATGAGTTATACAGGCAGACAGATGGAGTAGCAATGGGATCGCCTCACGAACCACTAATGGCAGATGTCTACATAGGGATGCTGGAAAATTAATCGCTGAAACCGGTCATGTCAACCTTCAAGTTCTATCGACGTTACGTAGACGACATCTGCATCGTGAATCAGGAGACCAACTTGCAAAACATCGTCGAACGTCTCAACAGTGCACATTCCAATGCCTCATTTACAGCGGAAGAAAGCAACAACCGTATGAAATTTTTGGATGTAAGGCTAAAGAAGAGAGCCGACGGATCAACCCAGTTACGACAGTACAGAAAGCCTTATTGGACTGGGAAGCATACACATTTCCAGAGCTTTGTGCCCCTCAGCCGCAAAAGAACACTGATCCCTACGTTGGCTGACCGTGCGCATAAAATCTGTAGCGAAGACACGATTGTAGATGAACTGGGACGAATCAAGTGGTTATCAAGAACGCTTTATTGAAACGCATATGAGGACTAAAGACAGGAAGCCAACAGTACAAATGGCTGAGAAAAAACAGTTGTTGTTTAATCTCCCATTTAAGGCCGACAAAACGGCTGAGATCTGTACAAGATTTATGCAAGCCTGCAGAAATACCTTCAAAGCAGCTGAAGTCAATGTGGTCTATAAGAGCGATTCGTTGGTTGTCCCTAGATTCAAAGACAAGGAGCCTGATCGCCTCCAACCAAATGTACTATACCGATTCACCTGCTCCTGTGGAGCAAGCCATATTGGACGTAGGACAAGACACTTAGAAAATCGAATCAAGGAGCACCTACCGAATTCGCTCACCAACCGCAGAGACAGAGCTAATCTAAGTGCAATTACTAACCAACTGATTGCCGCTGGGCACATTGATCAGACCACAGTTGGACTGCACCTCGCATCGTCGAGGAATATACCATTTATTGACTTATTTATTCGGAATCCTGTATAAGGCATCGTCAGACTTGACCCCCTCAGTTAGCAGCACGACTTATTGCTACTGCTGAAGCAGTAAGCATAAAACTGATGAATCCTAACCTCTGCACCCAAAAGAAGCACATTCAATCGTTGCAACATCCATGGCCATCAACTACACGAGAGGAATTAGTTGCCGCCCATCAATCCAGCGTGCCGCAAATCACCTGATCATCTGACGCTTACGTTTAATTTTACGTTTAATTTTATCTAGAACTCCTTCTCTTGGTAAGCTGAGTGACAAGTAATAGCGGTGTGTGACGATAGAGCGGTTCCACGCAAAGAGTGGGGTGAGAATTTGAAGTCCACTTTTGCCAATGTGCTCAATGGGGGTTTGAGCACAGCAACACAGTAACGGATCTGACAAAGATCAGTATAGTGTACAAAACGGTGCACACGTTAAATGAGTCACGACTGTAGGGGGGCAGGAATGAGACAAATACAGCTGAAAGAGATGCTTCGGTTAGGGTTAGAAAAAAGAGAACAATATAAGGTGCGAAGTTGTCAGATGTTTAAATGAAAATGATATAGGAAACCGCATCAAAGATAAGAAAAAAACACATAGGAGTAAACTAGTTGTAGCAAGGTAGGATTACTGACTTGATGAAGGGGATAGCGCGGGGCACCTTCCGCGTGAATGTTGGCACCAGCTTTGATCAGAATTTTTACCATTTGTAGATGGCCCAATTCGATGGCCAGATTCAGTGGACAAACACCATCAATTACCATGCTAGGATCAACCTTATTCGGGTAGCTAAAAAGGTACTGCAATGTCTCAACATTGTTGCTGCGGATAGCACCACGCAAAAGCCAAGGAATTTGGGATTTGGCGATCCGAGGTTTGTGACGCTGTTTCGAGCATCGCAAACCCATTCACAGAGCTGAAAAGTAAGCAGAAGATGCACGAGGATTGAAAGAAAAATAAAAAACAGGTGCGAAACAAAGAAGCCGAAAGAGTAATCCGCTGCGTTTCGTTAAGCTACTAAAACGCAGGAGACAATGGTGACAACATAAAGCCGCAACATCGCGTTGGGAGCAATAGTTGCTGCAGTGCGATGACTAATATGCCTCACCGATACATTGAGCTGTGCCGGATGGTGACTTGTGCACCTCCAGTCACTCAAACCAAAATGACCAATGCGGGAAATCAGAAGAAACTCAGCTCTACGGTTCCCAAGATTCGGCATTGGAGTGAAAGTGGTAATCCAATTTCGGCCTGGTCACGTACTACTTAAAACGCTCCCTGTAACTCACTACAAGACTGTTACTGTCTCTTGAACAGGCACAAACCCCAGTCCTTCTCCTGCCTAGGCCAAAGAATCTGAGCGCTCTGCCAACGCAATCCAACGAAATATGCAAACAATAACGACGTCCTGGTCAATATATCATGCGGGGAGAATACGTATTATTAACAGTCTGGCGAAGAGACATGAAACCAATAAAACCTTGAAACTCAACGAACCAAGCCAGGTTGAGTCAGCACATCATTATCATGGCGCATCAGCTGAAGGTGAGCAACACACTGCAGATTTTGTGCTGTAGGAAAAATAGAAACACTTTTTGTTAATTTGTACACGACAGTTTTTCGTGGGTTTTGTTTTTTCGATTGTTAGGGATTAGGCAGTTGAATCGAAACAAATAGGTACACATCTGCAAATGTATTCGATTGAGCCATATCCTGAATGGTTTCAAGTCATCAGCAGGAGGAGGCAGGAGCAGTAGGCAAGTACCGGAAGCTCTTCCAGCTAATCCGCACCACTGGTCCCAGAAAACCAGGCGTCAGTGAGACAATCAGGGACAGCGCGGGTGCGCTGATACACAATAAGGAGCGCCGTATGGCTCGTTGGGCTGAACACTTTCGAGACCAGTTCAGCTGGCTCCCTGCTCCCGGACCTCTTCCAACTCAAGTGATGCAGGACGAGCCATGGACGGTTAGTTTAGAGCCTCCGTCGAAGGTCGAGGTCCGAAACGCGATCACAGCCCTCAGTCGTTTTCGTGCCGCTGGCCCGGATTCCCTCCCACCTGCACTATTTAAGGATGGAAGTGAGGTCCTCTGCAGGGCACTGACCTCCCTATTCGAACGTAGCTGGAACGAAGAGAGTGTGCCGGCTAATTGAAGCGAATCGATTATAGTGGCAATATACAAGAAGGGCAGTCGCACAGACTGGGCGAACCATAGGGGTATTAGCCTAACGCCTGTTGTGACAAAATTAATGGCCTCGATTCGCGTTCGTCGCCTCACTGCAGAACGGGAATCTCGGATTAAAGAAGAGCAGGCCGGTTTTCGCCCAGGACGTGGCTGTATAGACCATATATTTATTTTGCGGCAGGTGCTAGAGCAGCGCCAAGCATACCGCAAACCGACAATAGCTGTGTTCCTCGATTTCAAGAGTGCGTTCGATTCAGTCGATCGATCGATTCTGTTCGAATTACTTGCGCGGAAAGATGTTCCCACGAAATGTGTGAACATCCTTCGTGCTCTATACTCGAACACTACAGACCGCGTCAGGGTCTATGGTGTCCTATCGGATAACTTTTCAACTACAAGCGGCGTTCGTCAGGGTCATCCGATTTCCCCATTTCTGTTCAATTTCGTCGTGGATCCTATCATGGAGTGTTTCCTGACGGAATCCAACGATGTAGACGTTGAAATGCTGCCTGGTGTAAGGTTACTTGACCTAGATAATGCGGACGATATCGTCTTGCTTTTCGACGATGTTGGGGCGGCCCAATCAACCCTGAATAGCCTATCCAGAGTGGTCCCATTATTTGGTATGTTGTTCGCATCTTCAAAGTGCAAAGTGTTGCTGCAGGACCACCAGACACTTGATGACCCCTTGACGCTTGCTAACGAAGAACTCGAGGTGGTTGATCAATTCACCTATCTTGGCAGCTGCATCAGCAATGATGGGCGCATAGAAACTGACGTGAGCTCACGCATTGCAAAGGCCAGAGCTGCCTTCTTGAACCTGCGTCATGTTTGGTGACAGAAGGGAGTTTCCCTCCGTCTGAAAGGCCGGGTATACAAGGCCACATTGAGGGCCGTTCTTGATTGGCTGATTGTTCGCTGAGCTCGGCAGGTTGACTGCAAACGTTTCGTCACCACTCGAGGTGACATCGTCAGTGCGAGTGTATTTAGCAGTGTGGCGCGTACGAGGCGTCGGTGAGTGTGAGTGATCGATCTCCTAGCCGCTACCCTGAGTTTGGATTGTTCGACGAGCACATGACCATAGAAATCGATCTCTGATTCTCACCTCGTAGTGTACGCGCGTGGGACTCCTCGCTTGTCGTCGTTGGATGCAGCAGTCTAGCGCTCTTTTCCGTTAGATTTCTTCTAGTAATTTGGTGATCTTTCATTCGTAATGCCGTATATATAGCATCTATTTCAACATGTCGGTTTATTGAACTGTCGGTAGAATACCATGCCTCCAAGAATTCTCTAGCTTGCCTCGAATTTCTACGGGCTAGGATTTTTACGTTCTCTAAGCAGAAGTGGTGGCCTTCTTGGCCTTCGTGTATGGGAACCAATGTTTCCGTAGGGCCATTTTGAGTTACTTGATCCGTGTTGAAAGTTTCCTGCTAGTTTGTCCGATGTCGTGTTTGTCACATTCATTGCAGTTTATCTTGTAGATGACATCATTCTGGCTGCCTTGTTTAACTTTGTCCTTCGGCCTTGAAAGCAATCGTCGCAAAGTACCTGTTGACGATTGCTTTCAAGACCGAAGGACAAAGTTAAACAAGGCAGTCAGAATGATGTCATCTACAAAATTAACTGCAAAGAATGTGACAAACACTACATCGGACAAACTGGAAGGAAACTATCAACACGGATCAACGAACACAGAATGGCCATACGGAGACACGACCCGCATTCATTAGTTTCCATGCATGAAGACCAAGAAGGCCACCACTTCGATCTAGAGAACGTTAAGATCCTAGCCCGTGGAAATTCGAGGCAAGCTAGAGAATTCTTGGAGGCATGGTATTCTACCGACAGTTCAATAAACCGACATGTTGAAATAGATGCTATATATACGGCATTACGAATGAAAGATCACCAAATTACTAGAAGAAATCTAACGGAAAAGAGCGCTAGACTGCTGCATCAAACGACGACAAGCGAGGAGTCCCACGCGCGTACACTACGAGGTGAGAATCAGAGATCGATTTCTATGGTCATGTGCTCGTCGAACAATCCAAACTCAGGGTAGCGGCTAGGAGATCGATCACTCACACTCACCGACGCCTCGTACGCGCCACACTGCTAAATACACTCGCACTGACGATGTCACCTCGAGTGGTGACGAAACGTTTGCAGTCAACCTGCCGAGCTCAGCGAACAATCAGCCAATCAAGTAAACAACCTGAGCTACCAACATTTGCTTCTATATCGCAGCTATTCGAGGGCCGTTCTGCTGTATGGTAGTGAGACTTGGCCCCTTCGGTCTGAAGATCTGAGGCACCTTCAAGTCTTTGATCACCGTTGTTTGCGAAGCATTGCTGGTGTCGGATGGCACCAGCGTGTCCGCAACGATGATGTGCGTAGGCGAGTACTAGGTAGTGATAATCATGCTAGCTCCCTAGAACAACAGATAGCACTGAATAAGTTGCGTTGGCTCGGGCACGTGCTACGCATGCCTGGTCACCGCTTACCTAGGAGAGCCTTGTTCAGTCTACCAGGTGTAGGATGGCGCAAGTTTTGAGGTGGACAGAAGTTGACTTGGCAGCGGCAAATGAAGTCACTGACAACTAAACTGGGTGCCGTTGGTCCATCTCGGCTTCCGGGTTGGAGTCCACATGACTCACCTTGTGCTTGGCTCGAGACTTTACAGGACATGGCTCGCAACCGACACCAGTGGCGCGTCTGCTGCCGTCTCCTAATCGGATTGCCTGTTTAAGGTGTGTTTGGTGCTGAGTTATCTGCGGGGTAATGGCTGAGTATGACGCGGGGTAGTGAAAGCCGCAAAGAAGCTGTCTCGCCGATGCCGCCTTATCTTTGCACGATAGCCAGCTGTTTGTGACGGAAAGTTGTCTACACAAGGTGTAGGCGCCTTGGCCCAGAATATTTGCTTAGGGCATTAAGGTTTTCAGGTAAGTCCCCCTTCTCTCCCTCTTCTTATTCTTTATTTCATAGGTCCTCATGGTTGTATGGCAGCGAAGCATCAGTTCAAATGGCTGATGTACATCTGCTGCTGCTGATGATGATGACTCTTCGTTTGACTTAGTTGACCGAGCTGCTCTCTGGCGTTGTTTACTGACAAGGGCAGCGTCCGAAAAGTAGGTCACCATTCTTCAAGTCACCTACTCTCAAACCTCAGGCCGAGTGCGGGTATAAGGCGGACATTCGCTCCCTTTAACATCACAAGTGGCGTTCCCTTTCAGTTCAATTGTACTATAAACGAAATCAGGAAGTGTTATGATGAACTGCGAACCCAGTTTTGTGTGTTGAGAAATCTCTCCCTGGAGGATCGGGTCAAAATGAAAATAGATGTTGAGATGCTGAGAACCCGTCGGGCGAATGGTGAGACAGACCTACATATAGTGGATTTAAGCGTAGTTCGGAAAACTCCAAGTACTCGTTGGAGACCGATTCTCGTCATTCCGGGACAGTAACGCAAATAAGAACGGACTGCGAAATCAACTTAATGGAATCCAGATGCTTGACACAGGTGTTCGTTCTGACTTAATGGCATTCGCCGAAACATGGTTATTCCCAGACATCATTGATTCTGAAGTGTCTATCTCTGGATACCACCCTTCTCGGTGCCAGAAAGGACTGCCTTGTAGTGGGAAATTTCAATGCTCCTAATATCGATTGGGAGCTTTGTAATCGTCCACCGGATTCTTTTGATGCAGCCTTCCTCGATAGCGTC